CCTTGAGTGAGAGTTAGCAACAACCAGTGAGCCAGCACAATGCAAGGATCCAAGGTCCCCTCTCACCCTTAGCAACATCCCTGTCATGGCAGAAAAATGTGACAGATTGGAGCTCCTGCAGATGCTCCTCCTGATATCAATGCACCTCACATAGCCTTACACACCTAAGAGCTGCCCTTCCCTGGGGCAGGGGAGGAGCCTGGCAAGACCAGCCAAACTGCCCAAGCCTTATCTGGGTTACCTGGAAGCTAAGTAAGCAGGGCTTCATCCAACCCTGTTTCCCTGGGCACAGAACAAAAGGAGAGGGAGGAGATTAAGTAGCAAGGCAAAAAAGACAAAATTAATTGCTCTGCCACCCAGTGGCCTCCCATAGCACGCTGCTATTACAGCACTTATGACACTATCTTGTCTTTATTTTCATGCCTGCCTCCCTGAGATTGTGAGCAACTTGTAGTTAGGGACCTTTTTATGTTTTGCAAGAAAAACATGAATAAATCCAACGCTCTATCCATTGAGCCATACCAGCTAGGTTAGCAAAATGAAATTTAGAGAGCTTTCCTATCCTTATAAGTTCTCCACTTGACCAGAAACACAGCACAGTTGCCTCTGGAACAATGTGGGGGCTCGGGGTGCCAACCCCCACACAGTTGAAAATCTGTGTATAACTATAGTCGGCCCTCTGCATACTCCGATTGCCAACAGCAGATAAAAAACAACAACAACCTGTTTTTGTCCATGATTGGTTCAATCTGTGGATATGAAACCTGAGGATATGGAGGGCTGACAACAGGTTTGTTCAAAACATCTGTGTATAAGTGGGACTGTGCATTTCAACCTGTGTTGTTCAAGGGTCAACTGTGGGTCAATTCAGCCAACCTCACAGTCATCCCCCTACACCGAGCCAACTCTGGACTCTACACTTATTTCCTTGTTCCTTTTACCCCAAACAAGGTTGACTATGTGACTCTAGCCAATTAGATATTTTCTATTTTTCTCTTTGTTCTTTAGTCTTTATCCTACAAGTTTCCTGCCCTCTGCCTAGTAGTAACTCTACGGGGAAAACATTAAATATGAATGCTGCTTTGTACCCTCATCTCATTTTATTGCTCAGCCAGAGGCCTGAAGATCTTGATGACCAATGTCCTCCATCCTCAAACGCCTCTTCTAGGAGAAAGTCTATGGGAAGCCACACAGTGTGGTCATTACCAACATTAAGCACTGACACAGATCCTTTCTTGAAATGTACCCCAAAAAAGATGAGTTCAGGATGTCCACAGCCCTGGCCAATATTTATTAATTTCTTTTTTAAAATATATTTTTATTGATTTCAGAGAGGAAGAGAGAGGAGGAGAGAGATAGAAACATCAATGATGAGAGAGAACCATTGATCAACTGCCTCCTGCACACCCCCCTCGGGGGATCGGCCTGCAACCCGGGCATGTGCCCTTGACCGAAATTGAACCCACAACTCTTCAGTGTGCAGGCTGACCTTCTATCCACTGAGCCAAGCCAACTAGGGCGATATCAATTTCTTTGTGTGGGAAAAAAGAAAACAATAAAAATGATGCCCACTTCTTCCTTCCTTCCTTCCTTCCTTCCTTCCTTCCTTCCTTCCTTCCTTCCTTCCTTCCTTTCCTCTCTCTTTTCTTCTGCTTCTCCTTTCCTCACAGGTCTAAGTTAGCTTGAAAAGAGGCACTTTTGAGTGAAGATCCCCTCAATCAGCACAGACATTGAGATTCCAAATCACTGGTGGGTTTTATTGCCCCATTAGGCTAACTCACCAAAGGCCTTCCTGTGATTCTGTTGCTATGGATTCAGAATTCTGGGCTTAGAGTTGACCGGTTTTATTGCCCCATTAGGCTAACTCACCAAACCAGGCATGTCCTGCAGGCATGTGCACAGACAGAACCCCCGTAGGAAAGACCCGGAGAGTGGATGGAGACTGATGATATGCTGAGCACCTGCTTTGGGCCAGCAACCTGGCTTCTAGTCATTCCTCATCCAGGGAGGCAAGTGGCCTTTCCCCATGTGACAGATTAAGTGCTGATGTTCACAGTCTAATCTCACAGGTGAAAAGTGGCTGATTCCATCTCAGTGTAGAGCCTGCAACTTTTACTATACCAAGCACAGCCTTCAGTTGAGAGGGACCTTATTTCTAGAAAAAATATATATAGTTTTTCTATTAGGCCTTGGACAGCTCACATTCTAGCCTATGTCTGAAATGATCCAAACAGTCCTCCAAAGGCCCTCCTGTGATTCTGCTGCTATGGATTCAGAATTCTGGGCTCAGAGTTGATCCATAAGCTCAGTCCCAGGGCACTCTCCCTCCAAGGAGCACACCCACGCCGTTTCCTTCCTCCTCTCCTTTCCCCAAAGGCGCGTGTCCCCTAACCTCTAAGAGACCCCGTGAGACTTGCAACTAGGGGAGCAATGGGCAGTGGCAGCTCATCCAGGGCTAACCCCCTGAACCTGTCTCCAAGGCCCCTTTTCTCTGACTTCCCAGGGAGCCAAAGCAGGTCAGCCCGGGCTCTCCTGTGACTACTTCTATGCCCTTCCTTGTTTCCCTGTCCTAAGTATATTTTTGCTACGGTCAATAAATTCTTGTTTTGTTTTCTATACTTTGTCTCTTGATTGAAATCTTTCCCTCAAGAAAACAAGAACTGAGTCTCCTCATCTTGCCAGTAACAAGGATTATCCTCTAACCAACTGAACTACCCCACCAGGGCAATGTGCCTTGGTCCTCAAACCCATAACAAGAATAGTAACTCTTGTCTATTTCACCTAAGGAGGGACAAGGTGGAGGAGAAGGCACTTCAAGGGTGAAAATATCCTTGAGTGAGAGTTAGCAACAACCAGTGAGCCAGCACAATGCAAGGATCCAAGGTCCTGAACTACCCCACCAGGGCAATGTGCCTTGGTCTTCAAACCCATAACAAGAATAGTAATTCTTGTCTATTTCACCTAACGAAGGACAAGGTGGAGGAGAAGGCACTTCGAGGGTGAAAATATCCTTGAGTGTTAGCAACAACCAGTGAGCCAGTACAATGCAGGGATCCTAGGTTCCCTCTCACCCTTAGCAACATCCCTGTCATGGCAGAAAAATGTGACAGATTGGAGCTCCTGCAGATGCTCCTCCTGATATCAATGCACCTCACATAGCCTTACACACCTAAGAGCTGCCCTTCCCTGGGGCAGGGGAGGAGCCTGGCAAGACCAGCCAAACTGCCCAAGCCTTATCTGGGTTACCTGGAAGCTAAGTAAGCAGGGCTTCATCCAACCCTGTTTCCCTGGGCACAGAACAAAAGGAGAGGGAGGAGATTAAGTAGCAAGGCAAAAAAGACAAAATTAATTGCTCTGCCACCCAGTGGCCTCCCATAGCACGCTGCTATTACAGCACTTATGACACTATCTTGTCTTTATTTTCATGCCTGCCTCCCTGAGATTGTGAGCAACTTGTAGTTAGGGACCTTTTTATGTTTTGCAAGAAAAACATGAATAAATTTTCTTTGTTAAAGAAAAATAAAGCTCTGGCTGGGTGGCTCAGTTGGTTAGAGTGTTGTGGTAAGCCAAGGTTGTGGGTTCAATCCCTAGTCAGGGCACATACAAGAATCAACCAATGAATGCATAAATAAGTGGGACAACAAACCAATGTCTCTCCTTCTCTCTCTGTCTAAAATTAATAAATTAAAAATAATTTTTTTAAAGAAGCAAAAAATCACCCTGGCCAGTTTGGCTCAGTGGATAGAGCTTCAGCCTGGAAACTGAAGGGTCGTGGGTTCAATTCCTGTCAAGAGTCAAGAGCACATCACTTGCTTGGTTGCAGGTTCCACCTCCGGCCATGTGGGAGGCAACCAATTTATGTGTCTCTCTTACATCAATGTTTCCTTCTCTCTGTCTCTCCCCCTTCCTTCCACTCTCTCTAAAAGTCAATGGAAAAATATCCTCGAATGAGGATTAACACCACCAACAATAAAAACATGGAAAACTGCTGAAACCGGTTTGGCTCAGTGGATAAAGCGTCGGCCTGTGGACTGAAATCAGAATCGGCCTGTGTCGATTCTGGTCAAGGGCATGTACCTGGGTAGCGGGCACATCCCCAGTGGGAGATGTGCAGGAGGCAGCTGATCGATGTTTCTCTCTCATCGATGTTTCTAACTCTCTATCTCTCTCTCCCTTCCTCTCTGTACAAAATCAATAAAATATATTTTAAAAAAAACAAAAACAAACCAACAAAAATACCCCAGGCCTCTCAGCTGTCCTGTGCTGCTCAGAATGTGACCATTTTACCACCCGTGGGGATGATTTTATTTTCAAGAGTAATACTGACAATACTTGATTTTTCACTTAAACATTAACTTTTTAACCAACCCCTACCATAGTTGCACTGTATATACCCACTCAGGATCCATGAAGTAACATGATACCCAGGGCAAGACCTGAAATACAGTGATAAAGTTAATTCGTATATTGGGATCCACAAAACAGAGGCTGCCCCAGGGGCCCAGCTCATAAATCAAAACCTCAGTCAGCCTGCCGAAACCGGTTTGGCTCAGTGGATGGAGCGTCGGCCTGCGGACTGAAAGGTCCCAGGTTCGATTCCGGTCAAGGGCATGTACCTGGGTTGCAGGCACATCCCCAGTAGGAGATGTGCAGGAGGCAGCTGATCGATGTTTCTCTCTCATCGATGTTTCTAACTCTCTATCTCTCTCCCTTCCTCTCTGTAAAAAATCAATAAAATATATATTAAAAAAAAAAAACACAAAACCTTAGTCAGCCTGTATTTACTTCCGGAGACGCCTCACTGTCAAGGAAACCTACTACCAATTGCAATCCTCCAACTCATCTTTAGCCAGCTTACCTGACCCTAGAAAATAGGGCCTCCAAGCCTCCTCCAGAAATTCCTGCCCTCCTAGCCCAGCACGCCCTGTGTCTGCATTGCCACATCTAATATTCTCGCTCTTGCGCACAATATATTGAGAAGAGTGCTCCACCGCTTGTGAGGCACTGACTCCCCCAGTGCATGGTTTGTTTCCCCTTGAGTAAAGGACGTCAAACTCCTTCCTAAATTGTTTTCCTTTTGTCCTTTGACAGTAGGAACGCTCTGTAATGTTTCAGGACAGAGGAAAGGAAAGAAGGACCATGGAATGGGTGTAGCTTACAAAGGGAGGAAGTCCTGGCTACAGAGTATTCGGAGTAATCGTATTTCTGACTTTGCTGAGAAGACATTCAGAGGGAACCACCACTCTGCTTATGTATAACTAGAGGCCCGGTGCACAAATTTGTGCATGGGTGGGGTCCGGCTGGCCTGCCCTGGATCGTGGCTGATCAGGCCAGGCCAGCTGAAGGGAGTGGCCGTGGGCTGTTGGCTAGTCAAACTCCCAGTTGAGGGGACAATTTGCATATTAGCCTTTTATTATATAGGATGTGGACCTTAAACAGTGGTTATTTGGGGGCTACCCTTCAGGGCAGAAATTGTGGGCTTTCTGTTCTGAACATGGGGTCATGCTAATAGGGCCTCCATCCCCAGAAAGTACCAGTGGGTGGACCACTGTCCACACAAACACCATGATTCCTAAATCTGACTTGAGCCAGATGTACTTTCCTTTCCACAGCTGCACTTTTTTTTTAATTTTTATTTTTTTTAATAATTTTTATTTCTTGAAGTATTACAAAGAGCATTACATATGTCTCCTTTTTCCCCCCCTTGACATTCCCCCGGCCCTACCCCCTAGTGTCTTGTGTCCATTGGTTATTCTTATATGCATGCATATAAGTCCTTCCGTTGATCTCTTAACCCTCCTCCCCCCAAACCCTCCCCAGGCTTCCCACTGTAGTTTGACAGTTTGTTCAATTCCACAGCTGCACTTTAAAGGGAACAGGACTGGCTGTATTATTTCCTGAGACCAGGGGAACTTTCAGCCTAACTCCCCTCACTACATTTTTGGGGATCTGGTCTCCTGGCTTGGGGTTTTCATGGTCCTAGTTGATGATCACTATCAAGTTTCTCTTACCCACCAGCTCTTCTATAACCCAGAGTTTTACTTTACTGTCAAACTTATTGGTTTGGGGACATTCTGAGCAATGATTCTTGCCGTGATGAATCCCTTGCAAAGGAGGAAAGGAAAGTGAACAGCTGATTTTTACAGTGTTGAAGGTTGTCCTGGAGTTGCACAATCAGCTCAGAATCATCAGATAATTCCCATTCTGATCCGGCCAGTGGAAGGAAACAGCTGCATTAGGAGAACAACCAAGCCCCTGCCCAGCTGTTCCCGGGGCAGGGTGAGGCAGGGCAGAGCTGAGACCTGCTGCTAAGCACCATGGGTGAGCCATTTAGCCCCAGCAAAGGCCAGAGCTGTTCATCTCTTCCAGCAGGATAGAAAGTGGGGATTAGGAGGGCCATTAGGATACAGCCATGCCACTTTAGAGTTTTATTTTCCATTCTTTCCATTTACGAATGAGAAATCTGGGGCTCCAAAAAGGGAAATATCTGGTTCAAGATCACACATTTGCACTGTTGGGAGAGGAGAAATGAGAACTCCAGTCTCCTGACTTCTCACGCCAGTGCTTGTTCCTTGACACTATGCTTTGGAAATGTTGGGAGAAACAAGATGAAGCCATCTTCTTTATCACCAGATTTCTGAGCCTTTAATATGCTAACTTGCACTGTGTCTTTCTTCTTAGAATATGGTTTTCAGACTTTCCCAAGCTTTTTTGACCAGACTACTTTTTAATACAGTGTGTTGTATCGCAAATCAGCGAGCTGAACAAGACGCCTAATGAGCCAATTAGTTAGGATTCATCTTTATTGCAGGCAGGTTCAGAGCAGATTACCTCTGTCAAATTCTGAACCCCCCATAGAGTAAGTCTTCCATATTTTATACTTTTCGAGCCTCTTTGTTTGCAGATATTACAAAGGGCTCTGTGTGAGTTATTGTTACAGACAGTTGTAACCTTGAATTCATAATGAGTTTGTACTTGGCATAAGAATATGGGAATTATCTATTACATTGGATGGCTAGCTTGAAAGGTCAGACAGTTTTTATCTTTTTCTATTATTTGAACTAAGAACAAAGTCATTTTATAAAATAACAGACTGTCTTAAAGTGACAGAGTTTATAATGACAGAGTTTACAGGACTAAGGACTATCTAACAATAGCAGAGAGTTTCAAACAGCAGTTTCATACAGGATGGAGGTTACTATGCTTCAAGTGTCTGTATGCATTCTCCAGAAAAGGATTGGAGGATTTCTCTTAACAGTGTAGGAAACACTGCCCTATACCATGCTGTTACTGTTAAGTGCTACACACAAAAACTACCTAACGCAATCCGTACAACCCACACTATACAGCAGTGATACTGAGACCCAGGGTAGTCACCAATGGTGAACATCATCGGTCATTCTGAAGATCAGCAGTAAACTCTGCATCTCAAAAAGCAGAAGGGTGTGTGGTAGGGAAGGGGGAGGGGGAGGTGGGGAGGACAAGGGCTAATGGTCAGGTCCTCTCTGACATGCAGGGCCTATCTGAGCATATGTGAGGTTTAGGGCTGGTCAGCCTTTATGAATATGCATTGATTGTGTCCTAGTCCTTGCCCTCAAGGATATCACAGCCTAGTAGGGAAACAAGTATTTAAAAGCATGAGAACTGTGACAGATGCAATGACAGAGTATGTACCACAAGGCAAAGTTAAAGGTACTAAGGAGGGAGAGAGTGAAAAGCTAGGCCTAGAAAAGGGTAGCAGAGGCGGAAGCTAGAACAACTAGGAGGTCCAGGGTTGCATTCCCAGTCAGGGCACATGCCTGGGTTATGGATTGCAGGCTTGGTCGCCAGTGGAGGGTGTGCAAGAGGCAGCCGATCAATGATTATCTCTCTTCATTGATATTTCTATCTCTCCCTCTTCTTCTCCCTTCCTTTCTTTCTAAAAAAGAACAACAAGCCGAAACCGGTTTGGCTCAGTGGATAGAGCGTTGGCCTGCGGATTGAAAGGTCCCAGGTTCGATTCCGGTCAAGGGCATGTACCTGGGTTGCGGGCACATCCCCAGTGGGGAGTGTGCAGGAGGCAGCTAATCGATGTTTCTCTCTCATCGATGTTTCTAACTCTCTATCTCTCTCCCTTCCTCTCTGTAAAAAAATCAAAAAAATATATTAAAAAAAAAAAAAGAACAAGAAGAAGAAGTGGGCGCAGTGAGGCAGGCGGAGACTACCAGTTCTAACAAAGTAGCTGCTGATCATTTTGTGACAGAATTTCAAGAATATGTAGAGGCTGAGGGATTTGTTCGCTAACAAGTGTTCAGTTGTGAGGAGACAGGCCTCTTCTGGAGGAGAAGTCATTGCCAGGAATCAAGCCAATGAAGGACAGGTTGACAGTATTGTTGTGTGGGAATGTGAGCAGGGACTTGAAATTGAAGCATCTATTTATCTACCATTCTGAAAAACTTCGAGTTTTCAAAAGAAAGAATGTCATGAAAAACAAATGGATTGTGGTAATATGGAGGGCTAATAGCAAAGCTTGGGTAGCCAGGCAATGTTTTATTGAGTGGATTCATGAAGTGTTTGCCCCAAGTGTGAAGAAATAGCTCCAGGAAACACAATTGCCACTCAGGGCACCTCCTGTAGGGCACAGGCTGCGGCCCACCCCCAGGCGTGGAGGCCGGGTTGATGCAGGAGCACAGCTCCACCACCGTGAGGCTCTTGGCACTCCAACTCCTCTCATCCAGCCCGTGGACCAGCAGGTCATCTTAATGTTAAGAAACTCTACCCAAAGGCGCTGTTTCAGAAGTGTTTGGAGGTGATCTCTGAAATGAATTGGACATGCACTATATATCAGAAAGGTTAAAATGAATCGTTTGGAGATCTGGAATGGATTCAATTCTATTTACATTATTTCTAATGGGGAAAAATGATTCTGTTTTCAAACATATCGCTTCTCAAATAGCCTTCCGGAACAAACTGAGTTTGAGAACCGAGGCTCCACTGTATTTGGCAAAGAGTCTGACTCTTGAAAACAACTCATCTGATAGCTGAAATATGAGAGTCAGAGATCACTTGACTACACAGCCCAAGCCTCTCTGACTTAAAAAATCTACCACAGGGGAACATTGTTAAAGTCACTATCCATTTCCAAGATGACTTCACAGTGAGGGAGGCCTGGGCTTAAAAAGTGGAAGCAGAGCCCTGGCTGGTGCGGCTCAGTTGGTGGGGTATCGTCCTGTGCACTAAAAGGTTGCTGGTTAGATTCCCAGTCAGGGCACATGCCTGGGTTGTGGGCTCAGTCCCCAGTAGGTGGCGTTCAGGAGGCAGCCAATGGATGTTTTGTTCTCACACTGATGTTTCTCTCTCTCTCCCCCTCCCTTTCTCTTTCTCTAAAAATCAATAAAAAAATATTAAAAAGTCAAAGTAAAAGCAGAAAAGAAGGCAAACCTTAATTTAGGAGTGAGCCACAATAAGTGGGCTAATATTTGTAGAACCCTTAGAACAGCCCCAGGTGCTCTAACCGGTTTGGCTCAGTGGATAGAGCGTCGGCCTGCGGACTCAAGGGTCCCAGGTTCGATTCCGGTCAAGGGCATGTGCCTTGGTTGCGGGCACATCCCCAGTGGGAGGTATGCAGGAGGCAGCTGATTGATGTTTCTCTCTCATCGATGTTTCTAACTCTCTATCCCTCTCCCTTCCTCTCTGTAAAAATTCAATAAAATATATATTTTTTTAAAAAAAGAACAGCCCCAGGCACCCAGTGAACACTAGTTGTGTATTTCATAAACAAATAAAGTGTTGACATGTGGGTCTGGGAAGAGACCTAGTTAGAAACCCCCACCCTTGGGTGGCAATTGAGCTATTTTTCACACTCTCATATCTCCCTGACCTTAGAAAAATCATGTCATTTTTAAACCTCAGTTTTCTTGCCTGTGAAACAAAAATCATGCAATCCCTAACTCAAGAGGGTTCTTAAAAGTACCAAATGAGACCGGTGAGATACTAAGGATGAAAATATGTTATTTGGAAACTGTAAAGCACTTTACAAATGTCATTACTGTTGCTATTGCTTCTTATTCAGAATTCCTGTGAGCGAAAGGACTAGAAAGATGTCCTGAGGCAGAGAATCAAATTTCTGGCGCTGGTGGGATTATCCGCCAGGATTATCTGCCCTTCTCTCCAGCCCCCTCGTTTCCACAGCCCCACCCCTCGCTGCTGGCCCAGCCAAGCAGGGAGGAGGGGAGAGCTGTGTCCCTGGCACCCGAAGTTGGAACAGAGTGTGCCCTTTCTCCCTCTCTTACAAAATCAAGGCTGTGCAGAGTTCCTGGGAGTAAATGAACAGTGCATCCAGTGTGCCCGGCTGGCAACATTTAGGATTAGGTAGACTTTGTGGCCCGCCCTGAGCACCTGACGACCCAAGGTAACCTCATTTTCATGGGCACCGGCATTGTTTTAAATAACAGGCGTCGGTGCTCGTTTCGGCAGCACATCCACTAAAACTGGACCGATACAGAGAAGATCAGCCTGGCCCTGCGCAAGGATGACGCGCAGATTTGTGAAGTGTTCCATATTAATTAATTAATTAAGCGTCCCATATTAACGGCTTTGTAAATACACTTTGGAATCCATAGCCTGTTTCGGAAGTGGGGGACTGTTTGTACAGAACGAAATCAAACTGCTTGAAATATGGTAGGTACTTTAGAAAAGAATGCAAAGCCTTCACATTACTGTAAACTACTGGATATGACCCCATGGGGAAGTTCCCTTTTCTTTTCCTTTTAAAAAATTTTCTTTACTGTTTGGGAAAGAGCCATAGTTACCTGGTGATTTGTCTCTAGAATTGAATCAAGGGGGAAAACAGAGGCCCATACACCCAACGGTTACAGGTTCGATTCCCCGTTAGGGCACATACCTAGATTGCAGGTTCAATCCCAGGTCAGGGCACAACCTATAGATGTTTCTCTCTCACATTGATGTATCTCTTTCTCTCTCTCCCTAAAAATCAAGAAAGACATATAATTAAGTAGGATTTTTTAAAAATTGTGTGTGTGAAGAAGACTCCATGGATGCCATGTGTAGGAATTAGCTGCCATAGAGGTAAAAAGCAATATAAAGCTACCAACGAAAGATTCAGCTGAAAGGTAATAAGGAGGAAGTTTTTATCTGGCACATGAGTTCAAGAGGGAAACCTGCAAGCTGACGAAAATCCTTTGTAAATAAAGCTGTAATCAACTTTCCAGTATGTCATCAATGGCAGAGATTGGGTGAATTCTGCCTAGAAA